AAAAAAAGGTTCTGTAAGAGATGGTTCTGCACTTGGGTAAAACGCAGAACCTTCAAAAGGTTCTGTCAAAATTTTTATCCTTTTTTTGAGACTTTGAACACATTTGGAGCATTTTGAAAATCTACAGAACCTTTTCGGAGGGTTCTGCAAACCTCCTTTATTTTTTTCAGAGTAGTGTTTTCCCTTTGTGACTCTATCCACGAAAGACTACGATTTAGTGTGCCTACCTGTGTTTCGACGCTCACCTTCTCGCTTCGTTCCATCATGTGATGAACTTCATTTCTGGTTCCGCGGTCGCAGTGAATTGTACAGCAATACCATAATGCACAGTTTCCACACTCGATTGTGACGCACGGACGGGAATCGGTCATAGCTTTCAAATCGGGAGAGTGATTTTCCTAGGTAGTTGCCGGAAGATGTAGCGTCTGTGCGTGAGACGCGGAATCTCGCTATGGAGATGCATCTCCAGATAGGATCTAGGCTAAAATTCGAAAAATATTTTTTCATCGGGATATGCTGGAGATGAAGATGCCAGAGATGCGGCATCTCTCTGTGGAGAAGTACGAGAGATGCGACGTCTCTGGCATGCCCGATTTTTTAGATATGGGACACTGCTGTTGGAGATCGCCAATGACGTTTCGAGCTTAGTAATTGGGCACTAGCAAAGCACTGTGTCAGCATCTCAAAAATTTCTTTCCTGACTCTGAAAGCCCTTGAAATGTTGTACATTCTACTATAGTAAGAAAAACATTAAAAAATTTGGAGGGATGCTTTTAATGAGACGAAGAAAGTGCATAAACATGTTTTCTTTTGGGTGTGAGTCCTGATTATGGCAGCACTCACACACACACACACACACACACTTTCCTGATAGAAATGTGTAGTTTCTATTTAAAAATTCGAACCGTCGGAATTGGTGACTTGTACATCTCAACATCTTTCAATATTCAAATAAAAGTTTTGCTTTGATGCATCTGCCTCTTGAAAAATCTTCTGTCTACCGCCACTGGTTAGCGTGCATTCTATCAACCATAATGTGTTCAGCGATTGATTTCCTTTGAGCATGCTGATGAGAACGTCCACACTCAAATCAGTGATTCGTTTATTGTTGTGCAGATACAATTTTTGTAGATTTGTTCCCGGACGACATAGAGCACTAGCCAACAATTTAACACCTTCGTCACTGATTTGATTGCCATTCAAATGTAGAGCAGTCAGCGTTCGTTTTCTTTTGATCACTTCGACTAGATGTCTTACGCCTTCGTCTCCAATGTTGTTGTTGCTGAGATTGAGTACTTTGACAGGTGCTTTGTCTATATCCTACAAAACCATACGTTATTATCATACTTGAAACTTATATAAATAGAAAACAGAAACTATGGTCGTCTATATACTACGAAATAAAATCAAACAAAACTATAATAGCATTGATAATGTTTTGGAAAAATATGCTTATATTAATGAAGTTTCGAAAGCAAGCAATATACTATGATAAAAAACAGGACTTGAACAAAGAATACAGACATCTTGATCTAATCCTAATACCTACAAAAGATCTTAGTAGTTAATGATTTTCAGAAAACAGTAGATATCAAAACAACAAATGTTTGATACTTTTTCAGTCTTAATAGTTTTATTAATACTTAATATTGTATTTCTGGAAACTTTCATAGTAAGAACTCGAACACATTATGGAATAAGGCCAACAGTATTACTCGGAGGCATATATATATATACAAAGATGTGGGTGAGTTTGCAGCCTTTTGTCCCAATGAAACACATACTCATATTCACACCCTCTTGTAATTTTCTCATTATGTTGGAAGAAGTGGAAATAGCCTTAAGCATCTCATGAAATAGTGCACTCTTTTGTTCTGTATGGATACTAGATAGTATAGCATTGCTAATGCCTACGATCAATCTCTGTACCGCTCACAGATGTGTGTGACCGATACTAACCAAACTTATTTTCTTACCTTCATTTTTACTATTCCACAACATTTCCATTGTACAACATGTTCTGTCTCGTTAGCTGATAGTTCCCTTGCCAATGGATATAGATCTGTGTCTGTCAAGTGATTATGGCCTAAGTCCAGTTCCTCCAATGTAGTAGTTTTGTGCATTGCCTCGGCAATCATCGACATGCCAGCTGCGGTTATGTCATTGTTTTGTAAACAAAGTCTTGTGCATTTTTTCGTGACGATGGCCTCTCGAATAACAATTTGCATGTCTGAATCTGTCAATTTCTGTTTGTTTAAGTTTATTGGCGAACCCACTCGATATCCGGCCATGCGGTTTTCGAGATCTACATTGCCGCAATTCGCATGTCTTATCTCGTCTAATGATGTGAATTTTCGTTGTCCAGTAGTTGGCACGGGTAATAGTGTGGATTTCGGCTGTTCAGTGATTGGCACGGGTAATAATTCGCATTCTGGTGGTTCAATGATTGGTCGAGAATTCACTGGATGAGAGGATACTGGTAGATTCTCATTAGCGCCAGGTATTTTGTTCATGAGAGGAAATTTAGGCTCAGTTTCTTTCAACTGAATGATATGCATTCCACTCCCTGTATCAAAATATCCAACCGTCTGAAGTTGGGTGGCCGGAAGAAGTAAGATTTCACTTTCCATCGAATAAGCAGAATGTTGACGAATATCCTTGCCAGAATAGCAATCAATTTGAAACAGGGTTCTGTCGCCTGTTTGGCCAAACATAGCTTTGTTATTTAGCATTTCCACCGAATCAGTACATGAGGTGAATGCCCACCAAACAAGTGTCTGTCCTTTGATATGTTGTGGTGACAAGTTCAATTTCACTCCTCGTAAGACGTGGCGACTAGTCGACGGAATTTTTGAAAGAGAGCCGATAATCAACCTCAGATAAAGAAACCAAGGCTTCAGTTCTTGTCGGTCCTCAGAACGAAGAGTTTTATTAAGAACAACATATAGACATTTTTCTTTCGGTTTCCACTCCATCGTATACAGTCTTATCGAAGCTGACTCGTCAATTGAGAGCCCATCAGCTATTGGCATTTTACAGTTGCTTTTGGCAACCGACACGTGATGCTCTAAATCAGGCATGAGTGACACGAGCTGTTTAGTAGCTTCCTCTAGAGAAACCAAAGGCATCTTCTCGAACCCTAGGATAGGAGGCAGCATTCGTCTAGGCTCTTCGCCAATATCCATAAAACGCTGCATATGCATTGTTACATCTTGATCGTCTGCTAAGGCCATTTGAAAAAAATGCAACTAGCGAAGAATTTGAATTGAGGTTAACTGTTCTATTAAACAAGTAGAATACGATGATATGCTCGTGTAATCGTAATAGGAAAAAGAGAGAGCAACAAGAAATCATTTCTTTCTTCATTCTTATTGTTAAGTTCATAATGTTTTTCATTGGCATTTTTCTCGAAATTCGTTTTGCAAGCACTTCATGAAAGTTTCAAAAGGTAGATGATTCATAAGCTTTCATGTTACGACCAAGGTGTGGGTACTCCTACAGAATTACCACAGAAATCACTCCAGCACCTACACCCTTCTCAATCTTTCCTTTCTTCTTTATTATTTTTCTGTATTTTGCCTGGATCTGAATAGCAAAGATTGGCAAATTTTTTGTTAAAATTTACATACACTTAAAATAATGAAAAAAGCTTGCTATCCTAGTCCTTTGGGACTAAAATATGGAATTTACGTAGATCCATTCGATTTACTATGGTACTACCCAATAATTAAAATGAAAAATCTATGATTAGGACATAAACTATTTGCCTTTGTCTTTAATGGGGATGGTGTTGCTTTTATTCTTGTCTTTCTAACGATGACAGAGGCTAATTTCTATGATCTGTAATGATGGCGTAGACTGTTTTCTAAGGTCTCTAATGGGAGCCCCCCCTCCCTGTGTTGCTTGTGTCTGTAATGGTAGCTCCCCTATGATACTTGAGTCCGTAATGGTAAGCCTTGCTTTTTTTCGTATAATCTATAATAAAAGATGGAGCAATTAACATTCTAATTACTTTAGTTTATATTTCGAACCATTTACCACCTCATTGATATATGTAATAGTGAGGGTAGCGGGGAACCAAAAAAGTCATCATTAGTACTGTAAAAATATTAAGCTTGATTCGTTCATCTGTAAAACAATTTAATAGCACCCAGAACATGAATTCAGAAGTAACTCGCAATTTTTAGTGTAGAATTATTTTAATTTACTTTGAGTTTCAACGAATGTGTAAATAAAAGTTAAAATAAATTCACTGGAAAATGCCAAACAAGAGAGTACTGCGAAATTAGCTATAGGGATACACTATCATTGGCATGGAAAACGCGACGAAAAGTGCTTCTAAACTTCACAAAAGATCGAATGTATTCTACACCTGAATGAATAAAAACGTGTTTAAAGAAAAGAGAATACATCCTATTCCGCAATGTTGAACATTCCGGAACCAATTCTACCTAACTCCGGCAATTCCGTTAATTCCTTTCGACTCAATTTCGGAATTCAGTACGCCCGCACAGACATCCACACCCACATCCTCGGGGGCGGAACTGGTTTCGAAATGTTCAAGATTGCGGAATAGAATGACTGCTCAAAGAAAGTTGAACTTAGACTCGGATTCATCGCCACCAATTACTTTTATTCATGTGTTTCTCGTACTAAAATCAGGTAGTCTCAGCAGCTCGTGAATACTGCTTACTGACAGGATGGACTATAGCATAATCAATACACTACTCACTAGATTGTATAGTTGATGTCTCTCATAATTTTACTTTGGAGAATGATTATATTCAGATGAAAGCTGCACGTTTCTTGCACAGATTGAATATTAATCTTAAGAGCCATTGCATGTAAGTCACGACCGACCGTGCTCAATCGATATAGCCAGATATGTCTCAATTTGGGTGTGGGTGTG